AGAGTGAGACTATGCATATACAGGCAATATTCCTATTCTGTATGTAATGATCTGAAATCTTATAAAATAAGCTGCAACACACTTCCTTTAGTATATCAAAGGAATTGTCATAACCATTACTCTAAACATAAATGCAAGGTTCCAAGTAAATTTTTAAAAAAAGAGTAAAAAGTAACAAAGAATATCAGTTGTCAGAAGCAAGAAGCAAATTGCAGGAATCCATCAATTTGGTAACTGCAATTTTGTTAATGATTAATTAGCCTACTGAGTATATTGCATTCATTTGTAAAAGAATATTTTGTTAATCAAGGTTTAAAAAGTGCCAACCTGAATACAAATTTATTTTAAAGATAGATATTAATGTTAGCATCCATACGCAATTTTTTTAAAAATCGACTTCCATTTATCAAATACAATAAATGTCTAGATACAAAAAGACTATAGTAAATATTTACATAAATTTGGACAGGGGTTGCAGCATTTTTTATTTTTTTTTTTTTGTGTTGTAAAACGATATTTTAAATGAAAAAAAAAATTTTGTCTGTTTTTTTTTTCTTCAAAGACCCTTCGGAACCTTCGGAAATTGTTCACTCATATTGAGACGCAACCACTTGGGGGGGGGGGGGGGGCTGCGCATTTAGACCTGTAATCGGCACTTATGGCCTTAGAGCAGCGAAAAATCTTTTTTGTGCTAGCACATACTGCGACACGGGACCAGTCTCCACGTCCCACAATGGGATTCAAACCCCGCGATGTAAGGATCAAACCCTTTCTCTGCGACTCTAGAGGAACCGCTATACAACTGCGCCACGTGGGCGACTGTAATTTCTGAAAATGTTCTTATCTTATTTCAATTTTTATGCCCCGCCATAAAATGGCCGGGGGCATATAGTGTTACCCTCTTCCGTTACACCCTGTACAAGTTCCGTCTGTCATTCATTGATCATCATTGACTTTCCGCTCATTATCTCGCCAACAGCTGCACACATTCAACTCAAATCTGACATATAGATACGTCATAGGAATACGCAGGTTAACTTCGATTTTGGTTAGTCCGGTGATCTCTCTTGAACTTAGAAAAGAATAAACATTTTTCAGCTTCCCCTCTCTAACTTTTGTAGGAATGTATGTATAAGATTGAAATTGCATATACAGGTATTTTACTAGAAAAGACAGATCAACTTCGAATTTGGTCGTAGTCCGATGATTTTTGACAGAGTTATCCCTGTTGAACTTTAAAAAAAGAGGAAATTCAGTTTCCGCTCTCTAACTTTTGTAGGGATGTATGTATAAGGTTGGAATTGCATATGCAGGTATTTTACCAGAAAATATAGGTCAAGTTTGAATATAGTCGTGGTTCGATAATTTTTGAAAGAGTTTTCACTCTTGAATTTGGAAAAGATTTGTGCAAAAAAAAAAATAAAACTAAATATGGTATTTGAAATTTTGGCTGCCTGTGGGGGCATTCATGGCTTTACGACACATCTATTTGCAATATTTGGTAGCAGATTAATAACGAAACTATGGACTCTTCCATTTGAGATAAACTAAGAAAAGATAATTCCTAAAAATGCTATTTATACTGAAAAGAATATATACAAGTTCATAATATACTTACCTTGTTGAATAATAAAAGAAAATACGTTTTACATAGTTCCTTTTATAATTCTGTACGTTACACATTAATTTTATATAATATCAGGTAATTCATTTCCTTAATAATTAAAAAAATAACAGAAAATCTTGTATGTTGGTATGTGTTGTGAGATAAGAACACCGACAGATGTTGCCATCAGAAGGGATGTGAAAGATATGGAGGACATGTTAGAGCAAATTATACATATATATTGAAATTCAAAGACAAATTAATTCGTTGATACCGATTATATCAGATATCAAACTGCATATTATTTTAAACAATCAAAATAAGAAATAGGTCTATAGGAGTATTTAATTGCGTATTTATACCGTACATGCTGTAAAAATTTAATAATTTATTCATTTTAGAAAATATCTGACAAATATGTTGAAGAATTTAAATATAAATATTGATCACGAAACAAATACAATTTTTTTATTGGTAATGTTTTGGTTTTTTTGTTGTTTTTTTTTTTTTTTGTTTTGTTTTTTTTTTTTGTTTTTTTTTTTTTGTTTTGTTTTGTTTTGTTTGTTTGTTTGTTTTTTGGTTTTGTTTTGTTTTGTTTTGTTTTGTTTTGTTTTTTTTTTTTGTGATATACAGGGTGTTTCAACAAACATGTCCCAACTTTTGATGTCTCTATTTTCGCACAATAATAAAATATTTACAAAACTATAGCTGTATTTTATAGCACATTTTCTGACAATATAATTGTGATATAAACAATATAAAATAACTTCATTATATTTTTCCTACTGAAGTTTCGATTACGTCTTCAAAAATCAGGTTATCAGGTTTTTTCCCTCCAAAAATGGATCTATGGATGTTTCGAACTAATCAACAAGAACAGAAAATCTTCAAAATCACCAATACTAGTGCATAAGATTTTGAAAAGAGTAGTACTCATATGAAAACCATCTTTCTAGGAAACAAATTTTTCAAATGATGTCAAAATATATGCCATACAGGACTTCAGCGACAAAATGAGGATGCTGACTTAAAAACATGGCAGCTTTTTCGAACACATAAAAATGACGTTAAATTGAAAACTGCTGCTAAAGTTCAAACTTTAAAAATGCCTGTTTAAAAAAATAATTGATTAAGTATCACTTCAACTTTCATATTGATAAAATTGTTTGATTATGTGGTTTTCATTTTTGCAAAAAATTTTCTTACATTAATACTGTCTAACTTTATATTGAAACCGCAAAGTCGGGACATGTTTGCTGAAACACCCTGTATTACATCATTTTGTTCATAGCAACAAATGTTAACGATAAACAGATTCTATTTTATACACAATCACCCACTCAGTAATGGTCTGGTAGATGGCAGAATGTTCAAGGTATAGCCGGATACACTGGTATATTAACTGAAATAATGAATTTTCTTTTTTCTTACGATATTTCATTTGTTTAAGAATGTTTCCTCACTTTTCTTTTTAAATTGTGGAACACAATGTGTAGTGCAATGTAAACAAGTAATCTTATACATCCATGTTACAAGTATTACAAGGGAAACACCTTATTCTGGGGCGGCTATTGCTATCGATGAGGTGAGACTTGAAGAAGGAACTTGTTCTTTTTAAAGTAATGAAAATCCTCTGGATTTCATGCATTTTTCTTTTAGATTATATTTTTTCAAAATTAGTTTAAAATGAAGACAAAAATATATATATCTTTGTGGTTCTTAGAATTTTTTAATAGAATGGTTTTCTATGTAATTCTAGATCTTTAAGAGGGCAAAGTAGTTTGGATTATTTTTAAATTGAATTGTGAAAATTGAAGAAAAAGAACAGCAGTCATTCTCAGAAATCTAAATAAGCATTACAAATTGAAAGCAGGGCAAACATGGATCCCTGAAAACATCAGAGCTGGGATCAGATTCCACAAAGTGAAAAGAAGGATCTCAGAATCTGTGCTTTCTACAATCCTGAAGCATCAGGGGGAGTAACATTTTTTTGAAAATCGATTCGACGTGTTTATAGCCCAAACCCACAGATCTTGATTGGAGGTGTCTTCTCCTTTCCCAGGATGGAATTGGAAATAAAATTTTCAAAGACCCGGAACACTTCCATCTAGAAGAGATACATGATGATGATGAACTCAAACAATTGTAGATAACAACCAGAAATAAGGCAAATATTGACCTATTTTATACAAACATTCCAAACAGGATACAACAGATAGAAAAAAAAAACACCAGTATATCTGATCATGACAAAGTGTATATGGATATGAAAAGGATAAGATGGAAGTAAAAAAAAACACTCTAGAAAAAGGCAAATTGAACAAGAAAGGCAGAGGAAGCGAAGCAACAGGTATAAAATATTTAATTGAAACCGAATAAAACTGAATATATCTGCCAAAAATAAAAAAAAAAAAAATACACAGATTATAGCTTCATAAATATGTTGAGGTTATTTCAGGCTCTCATGTGCTTAATAATTAGACAATCTTTGCGCAACATTGAATTTCCTAAAATATTTCTTTAAACACATTCTCTGCAGTTTTGAATTCTTTTTATTTCATAATGGGTATCAAAATAATTGTATAATAGATAACAATTTTAATCTTCATCTGGATATTTGGGTTACCTTTTAAAATTTCTTTTAAATTTTTTTTTAACAAAATAATAATAATAAAGATAATTAAAAAAAATGATTATCGAAACCTGACACTGTACGTTGTGTATGTTTTTTTGTTTGTTGACCATAGACTCAGGGTACTTAATTAAGGTCTATTGTCGATACTGCCCGCTACTGTACTCTTTTTCATTCTGCTTCCCACTGTGTATAAATCTGGTCGGATGTCCCCTAATCCGAACTGTTGTTCGGAAAAGTAATTCAGAAATGACGTATCGTTGTTTCAAATTTCAGTGAATATGAACTTTTTTGTATTAAGTTATGATAATTTTATGATTAACTTTTATTGACTGTCCACATTTCTTTATTACATATACGTGTCATTGATAGCCGGAAAAATTCTGGAGTGTTGCAACTACGCACTACAATATGCATCTAACTTATAGGTCTTTAGGTACCATGCATTGGGCGACTTACATGTAACATCGGTGTAAAGTTTCATTTAAAGCGATCGTCTTCGTGTTAACTTTTTTTTTTTAAATTGCGTAGGTTGATATCAGATATTCTTGGATTAATATAAACATGCGCTTTGACCGAAAATGTACATTTTTTCTCTTAGGCATTCATTACAAATGTAAGATATATTATATATATTTTGTTACAAAATATATAATATTTTAGTTCACTTTTAATTGAACAACTTATTGCTAATGATCAGAATTAAAATAAAATTTTAAAAGAATATACTAGACAATTTACTATGCCTCAATTTTTCCTCAGATGTTGGCACTTTTCCTAGTCCTGGAATTTCTTCTTCACACGACACAGGGAGAACCACAGACTGGAAGTTGTAAAGATATATTACAGGGTTACCTAACAGGACAACTGTCGTCTGCTCTAGGAGCATATCAGGTAGAAGCTTTAAGGCGAGAATTCAAAAGTTTCACTGACGTCATCGAGGAATCTATGAAAAGGTTCAAGGAGCAGGTGAACGCTAGCATACAGGAAGAAGGTACGACGCCATCATACAATCATATAAATGCACATTATCTTAACAATTATCATACGCTGTAGTTGAGAAAAATGAATTCTTCGTTGGTAGGCGTAAGAAACAAAAACATCGTATATATCAGATGGGGAAAGAAGATGTGTCCTTCGCATGCAAAGGAAATTTATTCAGGTAAATATATTCTACATTAATGAAAGTTTCATTAATTGATATTTCATCTAATGTGTTTCACATTTGTGTTAATTTAAGTGTTCAATGGTGATGAATTGAGAGGATACTTTTAACTACATTCATTTTACATATATTTGTATATATTAAAGATAGACACCATTCTTAGTAACTGCAGAAATTATCTTTGATCATTCCACACCACACTTCAGTTAAGTAAAACATTATACAGGATTCGTTGGAGGATCACATTATTCTCACACAGGAGCGGCTGTAGATCCTCTCTGTTTACCAAAGGACCCAGAATGGGAGGTCCACAATGATGGAAATGATGGAGCTATGGCTTATGTGTACGGAGCAGAGTACGAAACAAATACTTTCACGAATCATTTTCCTTTACTTCATGAACATGACGTACCATGTGCGGTGTGCTTTGTTCAAAACAGATCCGTTGTAAAAGCATTTCCAGGTGAGATTGAAACACTGGTAAACAAGGTGCTTTGCAAGTAAGTTTCATATTTTCAGATATATAAAATGTTCTTCATCTAAAGATATTTACATTTTATAAGTATTTCCCTTACAAAGTGTGTGGAAAATCTTTGACATTCAAAACACCATATCATAGTTATGGTTCAAAAGGTTCAAGTAATGATTCTATTTTAACATCACAAACATGAACGCCGTAAAAGTGCAACGTCATGAACGAAAATCAAATTTCACGCCAATTTTGAGCGGCCACTACCTCACTTCAGCTATGCAAGTGCCGAGTGTATCATATAAACAGGTATAATGCATTCAAAGAAGCAATACATGTATTTTATAAATCTACAATTTACCATGAAATCAAACAATGTAAAAATAAACATTGAATTGAACCGATTTTCATTCAGTGTGCGATTCGGTTTCAAGATTTATTTCTTGATGAACAAAATTTTTCTATAGTTATCTTATAGAGAGCCAATGTTCTATTTTAAAATAAATTCCGTATCACTATAATTCACTCTGTACATTTTGTTCATGTAAAAGAGCTTTTTCACATCTTTTATCCTTTTTTAACCTTTTAAACCTTGTAGTATTTTTCATATTTCAAAATGTCATGCTTTTTTGATAACCCTAAATGTATATAAAAGCAATTTTATTTCAGCAAGAAAAACCTGTTACAAAGGCTGGAACCTCGAGTACCAGAGTTACCTAATGGCTGGATACTATAACCATTCGGCTGCTACAACATACACGTGTGTTGACAAAAATCCAGATACATTACATGGCGGTCATGCAAATAAAAATGGCTACCTTTTTTATTTTGTAGAAGCTCAATGTGGTTCATTGAAATGCCCACCATATGTTCAAGGAAGAGAACTACTTTGTGCTGTTTGTTCCAAAAAGTGAAAAAAAAATATATTTACATTGCAACCAAGCGCATTCTTGACTTCCTTAATGATTGATAATGTTAATTGCGTTGACCTCGTCTGCAATGGTAATCTAACCTGTAGTAGGTAAACTGTTGACTAAGTTTTAATAGAAATTATTAATTGTTAACAGATAACTTTGTTTACCCGATAAAGGTGAAGGACTCGTGACGGGTCCATGTTTACTTTGCTCTGAAGAAATTGTAATGTTTAAACGCCTTTCAGAGCGTGATTTCTGTTTGTTATCTTTTCAATATGATTTGGTGTCAATATGATTAACATGGCCTAGCTTTTTTGAAGAAAAGGAATATTGAAAGATTTTTTTTCCAGGGATTGGCATTATATGAAATTTTGTTCCCTGATTAAGCACTATTCAGACTTCAAGGTCTAAAATTTGAAACCAAAAATAAAAAAAAAAAATTAAAAAAAAACAAAAAAAAAAAAACACTATCGATAACATAGGCATAATAGCCCTGCTTTTCCTTGAATAATTTTTCAAAAATTTCTTTATTCCCATGTAAAATGATTTTCCCTATTTTAGCCTTCTAGTCTCCAAGTTTCTCTTGGACCATGACTTCAACAAACCTGAATCTGCGCATGCATATAAAAGGACATGCAATATTTATTTTATTTCTATGTGTTGACTACCTTAAGTAGTATGAAGACACATTTTCACACGGAATCTGTCAGACAAGCATCTGATAACAAGACACTCCGGGAAAAAGTGAACTTAAAAAAAAAAAAACGGTGCACATACATCACCGTGTATAACCCCAATCTATAATCTATATTCAAAGTTTCTTTACTTTATGAGACCAGATTCTTACAAAACTACGCTTGTCAACGAAATTTTGGGACAACCTTTCGTATGTATCTTTTCTCCTTTTTAGGTCACCTGAGCCACTCAGGAGATCTATTTCTATCTGTTTTCGTCTGTCGTGGTGCGTCGTCTGTCGTCCGTCATGTGTTAACATTTGAACATTTTCAGCTTCTTCTCTGAAACCGCTGAACCAATTTCAACCAATCTTTGCATATTGCTTCTATGTGTGAAGGGTAACAAAATGTCGAATTTCATGGTCCCTGCCCCCCTGGGGCCTGAGGGGTGGGGCTAAAACCACCAAAATTAATGCAAACTTTAAAACCTTCTTCTTTACTCCTGGACATCAAGCAGTCAAACTGTTGGCATGATTGTAATAAGCATTGAGCCCTCTACCAAAATTGTGAAATTCGTGGCCCCAGGGTCAGGGGTTCTGGTACTAGGGCGGGGCTTTATAGATCATATAGTGAAAGTGTATTATTTCTTTGAAAACTTTCTTCTCTACTTCTGGGTATTATTGGAACAAATTGGATACATAGTTATGATGAGCAAGGGTAACTCTACCAAAATTATGAAGTTCATGGACCCAGGGTCAGGGGTTCTGGTGCTAGGGCGGGGCTATATAGATTATATAGTGAAAGTGTATTATTTCTTTGAAAATCTTCTTCTCTACTCCTGGGTATTATTTAAACAAATTAAATATATAGTTATGATAAGCAAGAGTAACTCTACCAGAATTGTGAAAATCATATCCCCAGGGTCAGGGGTTCTGGTGCTAGGGCAGGGCTATATAGATCATATAGTGAAAGTGCATTATTTCTTTGAAAATCTTCTTCTCTACTCCTGGGTATTATTTAAACAAACTAAGTACATTGTTCTAATACGCAAGGATGCTTCTTCCAAAATTGTAAATTTCATGGCCCCAGGGTCAGGGGTTCTGGTGAGAAAAAAAAGGGGGAGTCTATTGATTTTGTAGTGAAAAAGCAAAATGTCTTCGAAAATATTCTTTTCTGCTTCTGGTTAAAAAGCTAAGTGTATAGTTATGATGAGCAAGAGTGCTTTTTCCAGAGTAGTAAATTGCATGCTCCTAGGGTCAGATGTGCTGGTGTAAGGGTGGGGCTCTTGATAATATAGGGTAATTCTATTTAATAATCCTATCTGATCCTTAGTGTTAAGCAGATAAACAAAATGATTACCTTTGATGAGCAAACTTCTGGCCCCAGGGTCAGAGGCTGTGGTGTTTCTCGGTGGGGAGGGGGAGGGGGGCTATATTGATAATATAGTGAACCTGTAGTAAAAATGCATTATTTCTTTAAAAATCTTCTTTGCACCTGGGCATATCAGAGGCAAAATGAGTAAAAGTTTTAATAAGGAAAGGCCTTTTTTCCAGATTTTTGAAAATCTGGACCATTTGGTCAAGTGTTCTGGTCCTGGCCAGGGCTCTATTTATTTGTATTCTATTGAGAGAAGTAATTCCCCTTTGCCATTTACTTTTGATAATTAATCACTGTAAATAATGTACTTGAAAGGTTAATAGAATAAGAGAATTATGCAAGAATTTATATTGTATAATACAAAAAAGTATTTTCATAGTTTTAAGGATCAGGAAGACTTGTAAGTAATAGATAAATAAAAATAAGACAAAAATAACTTATGTTCTTCAAAGACCAAGAGAGGCCAATGTAAGAGATTTCAACAAGGAATTATAGTAGTACAGAAGCACTGATAGTTTGTTAATATACTGTATGGTGATAGCGATAAATGGGAAACAGATTAGAACCTAATATATGAACTGTTAATGAATACCAGACTTATTATTTTGTTGATCCTGATCACCCTATTTTTTTTTTTTTTTTTTTTTTTTTTTTTTTTTTTTTTGCTTTTGCTTTTTGAGCAACAAAGCTTCCTCTTTCAGTTCATTTTATACTCTATGGATCCTCTAAATTGTTGTATTAAACTCAGGTGACCATTAAGGTCCTTGGGCCTCTTGTTTGTATATGGAACATATTACATTACTCCTAACTTAAGAATAGAAATCAGATTTAAGTAAATGTGGGGAAAAGGGTACAATGATTTTTAAGCTCCAGCAGGGAAAATGTTTTTCTTATATAGAGTGTAAAAAAGATACAAAAAAAGAATATCTGCCCACAATCCCACTGCAGTAAAATCATGTCAAAGCACTTGGATTCTTTGCATGATTGTTCGGGAAGTGTGGAAAATTAAAAAAAAATAATGACAAGTATGCCTTAAAAGGACTTTCAAAAACCCATTCTAATGTAAAAAATGTATGTGCTCAAAATGCTGTGGACATTTTATGAACGTGGAAACGTACAAACAATATATAAGCTTCAATGTGAGAAAACCGAAGCGTTTCAAATATGACACTTGTCATGAACTTTTGTGGAGAAGATTTGTTAACATTGTTTCTTTTTTAACGTCCCTTCGAGAATTTTCACTCATATTAAGACAACACCACTTGCAGGTGGAGTACTGCAAAGGATGACTGCACTTAACGCCGGGTTTTGTGTTTTTTTTTCGGTCGCATCTATTGCTTTTATATTTTAACCGTGTGCCATTTTTTATATATGTATGAAAGAATCCTGTCAATTTGGAACCATATTTAAATGTTAAAATGATTTTAGACTGCGATACTATAAAATGTTCTATGTTTTCTGTCCTTACTCTTTCCAAATATAGAGAATTTCAACTTACCTGCCCTTGATTGTACATTAGGTATGCATGAGAGGTGGAGCTAACATTGTAAGAACGGATCTAAAATTAGACTTGATAAATAACAATGACATGTATGTAAAAATAAGAGATCATTCTTCCCAATTCCTTCTTTATTCTGTATGACACAAGTACACTATTTACAAAGGTTTCAAAACTAAATTAACAATATGAGTACGTCCATGTAAGGAAAGAATCTTTTAAATCAATGCCTCATAATTTAACGTGTTCGAGCACAGTGTCCTAGTTAGCACAAAAAAGACATGCTTCTTTACAAGTCACGTGACGGGATTTAGCTTCCCAGGTAAGAAATCACGTGGTGAATTATAATATTCAGCATGTCACAGCCCTTGGTTACAATGGAGAGAGCGAATGTAAGAAGAGAAACAGTTTTTTTCTCGTTTAAACCATTAGCGTATCAATGAAGTTACAAGACATATTTTATGAAAAATTACAGAAAAGAAACAAAATTTAAAAAGCTTGTTGCCACGGAAACAGTGACAAATTTGAAAATTTTAAAGGGCCTCAGCACAGCTACATGTGGTGATTATCATTTCTATAACGTTTCAGTAAGTTTGTCCAGGCCATTTTCGAGAAACTTGCAGTACGGAATCAATAACAATTTAATACCAAACTGATCACGTGACATCAACTTTTCTTCAATTAATCGTATTTTTCGTCCACCCTTTTCCAATTTTTTGCCCTTTTCCTTTTTGACAGGAGGCAAAGAGTACTTTAAGATTTCAAAAATATTTGATTAAAAGCAGCGGAGAAAGATGAGATTAAAAAAAATACCACTTTTGATCAGTTTCCATGGCAACAGTGGCCATTTTGAAAATTTTGAAGAAAGATTCTACATCTTTAATTAGTGATCATTATGGCAGTGGAGTTTCATCAAGATTGACAGAGCCATCTTTGAGAAATTGTACGGAGAGCGTTAATTGGTCGAAAGATAGCAATATGTCTCCCCGACTCCGTCCGGGGTGACATAACTAGAAAGTCTGCTATTGCAAGCAATAACGCATCTCTCCCCGAAACTAGCTTTATTAGAAATGGTCTAAAGTGTATTCTCTTGTATTTTTATTTCAAAGAAGCTTAAACACATGGTCCATTTGCTGGGATTGGACTACCAACTCTTGGATTGTGAAAAATTTGTTGTGCGGAGATAATAGTTTTGACAGGCAGGATTGGTGAATATTAAAAATTTTGATTTCCTAAAAAACTCTTTTTTTTGTTTTATTTCTGAAAGATTGAACATGAAACACATCAGAACACATATGTTTATACATGTTACTAAAACTAACATATCAGGAGAATTGGATTCTATTGAGGGAATAATATCGCTAGTTTTTAGTCACTACTGACACATGAAATAATTTAACTGAAACACGTGGTTTATATTAAGATGAAGTAATCGTAAATAAGATGATTTA